AGGGGGGAGAGGACCGACCCCTGCGGCACCCCGCATTCAAGGGGCCTCGGGGTTGACCTCTGTCCCCCCACCAATACCGATTGCAACCGGCCAGAGAGGTAGGAGGAGAACCACCATAAAACAGTGCCTCCCACTCCCACCCCTCCAAGTTGTCGCAAAAGGATACCATGATCAATGGTATCAAAAGCCGCTGAGAGGTCAAGTAGCACCAAGACAGAGGAATAACCCCTGTCTCGGGCCCACCAAAGCAGTTTCTGTGCTGAAGCCGGGCTTGAAGCCAGATTGAAAAGGGTCTAGGTAATCCGCTTCATCCAGAGACCGTCGGAGCTGGAGCGCCACCACTCTCTTTACAACCTTCCCCAAAAAGGGGAGATTGGAGACTGGGCGGAAGTTATTTAAATCAGCCGGGTCCAGGGTAGGCTTCTTGAGAAGGGGCCTCACAACCGCTTCCTTCAAGGATTGCGGGAAAGACCCCTCCCTCAACGAAGCGTTGATCAACACCTGGAGCCAGCCTCGTGTCACTTCCTTGGCGGCCGAGACCAACCAGGAAGGACACGGGTCCAATAAACAAGTGGAGGCGCTCATCGCTCCCACCGCTCTGTCAACATCCTCAGCGGTCACAGACTCAAATTCATCCCATAAAACTGGGCTAAGACCTGCCCCGGTCATCTCAGAAGGCCCTGCCCAATCGGAGTCTAGGTCTGTCCGAATCCGAGCGATTTTGTCTGATAGAAACTGCACAAATTCTTCCGCCCTACCCTGTAAGGGCTCCCCGGCTTCCCGAACGTTAAGTCAGGAACGGGTCACCCTAAACAGGGCGGCGGGGCGAGATTTTGCAGACGCAATAAGTGCAGAAAAATGCGAACATTTTGCCGCTCGTATCACCACTAAATAAGTCCTAATATAGGCTCTTAAAAGTGTCCGGTCGGATTCGGAGTTACTAGCCCTCCAGCGTCGCTCTAGACATCTCTTCTGACGCTTCATCTCCCGTAGCTCCTTGGTAAACCAAGGTGCCCTCCGGGATCCACAATCACGGAGAGGTCGCAAAGGCGCGATCCGGTCTAACGCCCCTGATGCCGCCTTATTCCAAGCAGCAACCAAGGACTAAGCCGGTTCGTGGAGGAGGGAATCATGAAAATCCCCAAACGCTATTCAGAACCCCTCCGGGTCCATTAAACGCCTGGGGCGGAACCACCTAATCGGTTCCGCCTCCCTGCGGTGGGGGAGTAGGACCGAGAAATCTAACCTCAACAGGAAGTGATCCGACCATGACAAGGGAGAAGTGACTATACCCCTTAAATCGAAATCACGTCTCCACTGCCCCTAGAGGAATACCAAGTCGAGCGTGTGTCCTCCCCTATGGGTCGGACCCTGAATTATCTGGGTCAGGTCCATGGTTATCATGGAAGCCATGAACTCCTGAGCCACACCGGAGGATTCGCCGAGTGACGGCAGATTGAAATCCCCCAGCACCATAAGCCTGGGGAATTCCACCGCCAACCCGGCTACCTCCTCCAGCAGCTTGGGCAGGGCTGTTGTCACATAGCTGGGAGGCAGGTATGTCAACAACAAGCCCAACTGAACCCTTGAATCCAACCTCAAGAGAAGGGACTCACACCCAACAACCTCTGGGGCAGGGATCCTGCGAGGTCTCAAGGATTCTCGGATAAATACATCTATTTATTTAATTAATGTATACTGTCGCCCATTTGACATATATGATTCTGACATTTCCAAGACCCAGAATCATAGGGAAGGAAAAGAAGCACAAATGTAACAGCTACATGGATTAATAACACAATTAATAAAATTTTATCATTTTATCCCCCAAATGTTTTATATTTACAAATTGGAAGATATATAATAAAAACAACCATTCTTATTTACTTCATTTTAAATTTTGTCAGGGTAACCCACTGATAAAATATAAATTCTTGGTGCAATCAATTCATTATGTGCTCTTCTGCTTTGTTTTATTTTATTTTGTGTAGCAACAAACCATTTCCTTAAAAAAGCAGGAAGTACCTGTGGGCTTTTGAAACTGTTGATGCAATTCAAAAATTTGTAGGCATTTTCTCCATCCTTAGATATGTAGAATGGAATCATCAAAGTCCACTCTAGCACAAAAGTCCCATATACTGTATTCCCTTTAGTATCTTTCCAACTTTCATCTTTAGAAATGGAATTTGAAGAAATCTTTGTAATAATAGCAGAGCAAATTATATATCTTTTTAACAGGGAACCACATAACCCTTGGGAGACAGTTTGGTGTAGTAGTTAAGGCATAGAAACCAGGAGGCCATGGGTTCTAGTCCCACCTTAGGCACAAAGCTTTCAAATGATCTAAGAATTCTATCACTCTTTAATTAATTCTGGTCTAAATGAAACATATATTGGTTCCCAAAATGTTTGGGGGGAAACTGGGATTCTGATTAACACATTATTTGAAAAAAAAGAAGAAGCTTGCAACACTTTTTTTGATTTAGGACAAAATGGATAACTGGATAATGGCCCAAAAAAGAACTGCAACACCAGCTTTCACACTAATCAAGTTCTTTTAGCAGATTGGGGGCACAATCACTAGAAAGGAAAGTTACAGCCTCTTTCCCACACCAATCCCTCTCAATATGCTAGGTTCCCCATGCATTGGACTATGCCTATCTTACACTGCAGATTTCAAAAATAGCCTAAGGAGGATCAAATCCAGTTAGTATGCTGGTAGCAAACCATCAGGAAATCCATCAGGGCTGTACACCAGAATACAGGTACACCCAGGAAGAAAGCAGTGACAAGCTGTTTCTCTAGAGTAGTCAAGAAAACCATTTAGATATATCCATGTAAACATCAGAAGTCAAGTTTGACATTATCTTGCTAACTAGCGGAAGCCACAATGTCAGTTGCATTGGAAACACTGGATGAAAAGAGATCACACACACACACACACACACACACACACACAATCAAGCAAATCTAGCATTGGTGCAAAACTGGTTTTTTTTCACTTACCATTTGATAGTTGATTCTTTGGGCAATAGGGAGAGTAGTCAAACATTATAGGCTGCTGACATGAAGCTTATACTAATTCCTGTAGGCTTTATTCTGGCTGAGATCCATAGTGCTACTTCAGGAATGCCAGTGTGTGTATATGTACTAGGTGAGATGCCAATCTCTCTATTTTCTAACTGGAGATATAGACACACCATAACATTTGACAGTCTGCTTTTGAAATGCTAGTCTATTTCAAAAGTAACTAGCATTTCATGTAGGGCTAATAGGTGGTTCTGTCTGTTGCACACTGTTTCCTTTATGGATCATTGAAATACTGGATATAATCAGTAATACTAGGTAAACATGGTTAGGAAGTATATTCACTTACATTAGGAATTGGTAGTAATATCCTTTGTATTAGAGATGTGCTGCAGCTGGTGGAATAGCCTATGGAACCGATTGCTTTTTTCCTGCATGTTGAACAATGTCATACTGAAGAATATTTTTTACAAGCACTTTATTTATGAAAATGTTATCTGTTGGAATTACATTTTTATATTACTGGCTGATGTTGCCAGAGCCAGATGTATAAATCAGGCAGTGGGATACCTGATAATTTTTGTTGTTGTTACCAGTTCTCAGGTAAAATGTGATTGCACACTCCTAATTATGATTTAGTTTTTATTTTGCAAAATCCTGTGTGAATCCTAAACAGATTTCAGAATTGCCATGTATGAAACAATGAATTCATCTGAGATATTTTTATCAACGTCTTTATATTGCAGTCCAGACATGGGTGTTAGATGTATACCCTGCCAATTTCAGTGTAACTTCCTCCTCTGTAAATTTGTTTCACGTTAGGGAAAGATATGAGGCAGATTTATTATTCACATTGATTGACAGCTTCCAGAAAGATGGGCTTTCTTGTAAGTACAGAACACAAGTAAATAAGTGAAGCAATAAAAATCAGTGCTTAAAGATTCTCCCATTTAGAAGTTACTTTCCAAACTCATTTGCCTTTCCTACACTCTTCCCCTTGGTGAAATTTCAGGCAGACAAAGCACTAGTTAGCCAGCCCTGAAAAGCATTCTCAGTGTGAAATGCCTTTGAGCACTAGCCCATTTCACTGGAGTGAAAGTGTACATGGCAGAATAAAACCCCAAGAAGTACCGAGTTAAGAAACATTCCAGTGAGTAGAGCCAAGATTGGCAGATCAGAAGTTCCCCAACTATGATATCCATGACTGCAGCATTAATTGAGACATAGTTTCGAATTTATTATCATTCCTACATCAGTTTGATAAAAAAGCAGAATAGAACATGAAAGCTTTCATCAGTAAAAAGATGTGATAACATTTACCATCTTCTCCATGTTTTTTTCTTTCAGACAAGATATATTTTATGACTCCATCATATTAATCTATATTGTTTATTGGGGTTTTCAAATATTAAAAATTGTAAGCTTATAAAAGATATTGTTTCATTTTTTATCAAACTAATGAATGTTGTTTAAACATACGTAACTACACTTTATGTGGTACATTTTGCTGATTTTTCAAAGATCTTTCCAATTAAAAATTTCTTAACCTGCTCTAATGGCCTATAAATTTCATGAATACTTCTATTTATATAGAGGAATACTGAAGGACAAGCCGAAAAGAAAGCTTCAAGATTACAGTTAATGCTAAAAGATTACTTGCTTAGGTACTAGATCAGGGGTGTCAAACTGCTGGCCCACGGGCCGGACATGTCATGACAAAACTGAGCCCACCCCATTGCCGGCAATGGGGAAAAAGCTCCAATATGTTGCATGACATCACATGACGTTGCAAGTTTGACATGTCTGTACTAGATAATAGGCTCATACAAATCATCCAATCTGGAACCACTCCTCAAAAACCTGAAACAATTGCAGCTACATGAAGACTAAGAAGACTTGTTTTAGGCTTGTCCCATGGTCTTCTTGCATCTCAAGAGAAGCAAGAATGATTTACACAGCTTTTTTGATATTAGATTACCACACATTCTACTAGAGAGACATTTCCTTAGGATGGGCTCCAGCACAAGATTGACAGCTCGGAAGATTAAACTTTTGATCCTGTTGACTGACACAGATTGGATCCTGCAACATTATCCTTGGACATGCATTCGATGGCCACTATGTTGGTAAGAGTTGGGCATAGTTAATCTTACTTTTTTACAAAAGGGAATTCCTATGCAATCATTATTATATGACCAAAATAGGTATTATATGACTTGAGTTTTCACACCGCACATATCCTAATCAGCAACTGAACCAGGCAAAGCTCTGTTCCACTGGCAGCACACAAACACACTAGTACGATCAGGGGCTGCTGTTTCTCTAGCCCTGCTTGGTGTTCCCATGAATCCTTGTACCATAAAAGTATTGGCCATGGTTCTGGGCATTGCTTAGGAACTGCAGCCCATCAGTGTTGGGAGGCATGTCCTGCACTGTCAAATCGTAGCAGTGAATTTTAAAATGGAATATCTTACATTAGTATTTTGCCAGCCTTGGCCTTTTTAAGATGTGTGAATTTAGGTTCCCAAAATTCTGGGAGTCAAAGTCCACACATCTTAAAGTGGGCAAGGCTGGAAAATATTGTCTTACATTGTAAACTGCTTTATATTTCTACTCTTTTTTTTCCAGACTGAGAGCATTTACATACTGTCCCTAATTTGATTGGGCTCCAGTGTTTGGCCCAGAGCAGGGGTAGTCAACCTTGGCTCTTTTATGACTCATGGACTTCAACTCCCAGAATTCCTGAGCCAGCACAGCTGGCTCAGGAATTCTGGGAGTTGAAGTCCACGAGTCATAAAAGAGCCAAGGTTGACTACCTCTGGCCCAGAGAGTTAGGGAGAATATTTTATAATGAATCAAATACATTTTTGAGGCAAAATTTCTTCTTGGTATTGATCGGGCTTTTATATTTGTACATCATAATTACCCTGCTGTCAATAAAGCTTCCATATCAGCCAGCGATTTGTTTAAATGGAAAAGTTCCTCAAAGTAAATCAGTCCTAAATAAGGGTTTTCCCTGCCTGGGCTGTAAATATCTGGTTGACCACCAGGTGGCGGAAGAGGCAGACTGAGGAGCCTAATTCAGGGGTAGGCAATTCCCATGCTGGCTCAGGAATTCTGGGAATTGAAGTCCACAAGTCATAAAAGAGCCAAGGTTGCCTACCCCTGGTCTAGCCTCTTCTTAAAAATCTCCAGTGATGGAGCGCCCACGATTTCTGGGGGCAAGCTGTTCCACTGGTCAATTGTCCTCACTGTCAGGAAGTTTTAAATTTCAAATATAAAATTTCAACCTCTTGCCAGAAGGACCAAACCTGTGTACCTGAGTTGAGAAAATCCCAGGAATGCCAAACATGCCAATGCATGGCAAGAGGCCCCCAGGATATATTTGCTCATACACCCTAACACAATGTTTAAAATTTTGTGGGTTTTTTTTATTTCTATTTTTAATTTGTCCCTTTCTCAGTTGCACCCCCAGACATCTGGAAATCTGGGAATGAGTTTACCAATACTTAGGACCAAAAGATTCCCTTTAAAGGGGTCAGCATGCATGCCTGTGTCCCTAATGAAAAAAGTTGTGATCAGCCAGTCTCTGGTAGCACCTTTTCAGGCTAAGAAAAGCTTTCAAAAGCTCATGCCTTAAAAATGTGTTAGTCGGAAAAGGTGCTACCAGACTCCTGCTGGCTTTTGGCTATCAGAGACTAACAAAGGTTCTCCTCGTACAGCGGTTCAGTTCTATTTAAGAGGCCTTGACAAATTCAAGTGACTTTCCCTGTAAGCTGCCTTGTATTGCCTACCTGTTACCACCTAGTAATTGAACCAGTGTTCTTCCATTTTAGACACTTTCCTAAATCTAACCATTTTAGTGCTTCTGTGCTGGTAGCAATTTTAAGACAACTTCTATTGCAAGAACATTTCTACTTGCGACCAGACCTTATGCATATTCACTTAGTTGCAGATAGACTTTTAGCAAGGAAATATATCTACTCAGAAGTAAACCCCATCAATTGCTGTAGAAATTATTTCTAGCTAGAATTGCATTCTCCGGCTTTTTACATTTTACATCGCTAGAGGAGGCTTTAGATGCGAATTACCTACTGTGCGGAGCAGAGCAATATTTCTTGTTTTGTTCTTTTTGAAGCTACACACACAGAGACAAGCTTCAGAGGGAAATGAAATGAAATCCTCTTTCTAGACTAGAGGGCACTCAGCCTCGATTTTAACTTCAGCTTAAGCAAGCCCCCCCCCCTCTTTACATCTTGGTTCCTAGGTTCATTCCCAAATAAGACTACACAGTCAACTCTACCCCCGAGTTCCAACTCCCCCCACCCACCCACCCACCCACTCAATTTTGGCTCCTTTAGCCAAAGGCTGCTCGGTTCTCTGTCATCTCTCTCCTGGTAATTGGCAGCAACATCTGACAAGGGATCAGCCGTTGCTTGCAATCTGTTCAGTGACATGGCACACCTGGCCTGCGCATCCTCTCTCTCTCTCTCCCCCCCCCCCACTCCAGCTATTTATGCCGCGCCGGCACCAGACGCGTCCGCGGCTCACAAGAGCAATAACTTTGGGCGCAACAAGGGCATTGCGAGTCATTTGTCTCCTCGCCAGCACGGTCTGTTCTCTACTGCTGGGGATGACACGAGGCTTTTCTCGGCACGGTGAAGCACTGTCCAAAACAAGCAAAGCAGGGCCGCTTGGTGGGTCGGGGGGCGCCCTCCGCCGACGCCTTTCCTCCTCGGTGCAGAAAGGGCTGTGTTGTGTAGAAACACGGCTGTTGCCGTTGCTTGGGCAGCTCGCGGCTATAAATCCGCTTCCCCTCTACGACGCCAGGCCTTTTCTCCCTCTCTCCGCTGCTCCTTCCCCCCCCTCCCCCGGTCTGGAAGCCTGGCGAAAATCCTCCTCCCACTCAGCATGCGGGGCTGGCTGTTGGGGCACCGGGAGGAAGCGAGCTTAGGCTATTCATAGTTGATCCGTCTCGGGGCTGAGAGAAGGGGAATCCGCCAGCCCGAGTACCCAGCGCCACAGCCGAGCGGACTGGCGCAAAATCCGGCTGGATCACCAGACCAAGGGCGACCTTCGAGCCTCCGATCAGACTAAGGTTTCCAGGAGCTAGGACGCGTTTCCCAAAACAGAAAAACCTTAGCAGGGAGGAAATCGTACAAAGATTCAAACGTTCGAACTGGAAGTGTTTGGCAAATGGTAGCATTTGGCAGTCCACAGGGAGCGATTTAGGGCAACAGCTAAAGCAGGTGGACACACACACACACACACACACAAGGAGAGAGAGAGAGAGAGAATGAATCAGTTTAGCTATCTCTTGGAATCAGAGTGTGACAAACCAGGATTGTTGCCAAGAAAACAACTTGAACGTATCTGGCGTGTGTCCAAGGTCAGCTAGAGGAACTTGCCAAGGTATTCTTGGATCCAATCTGGGTCGGTTCGCCAGGACCAGAGGCTTAGTCTTCCGAGCTCGGAAGACTAAACCTCTGGTCCTGGCGAACCGACCCAGATTGGATCGTGCAACATCATCCCGGGACACGTACATTGGCCTTCATTCGTTGTCGATGTGTAAACACCAGAGGTCGAACTTGATCCGAAGCTATTTTTATTGAGGAATCATGGCTAGTGTAGCGACATGGCTGAAAGGGGGAGGGGGCGAGGGCGGAGGTTCAGGATCTCTCTTAAAGTTGCACGTGGGGCGCCTTGAACTCTCTGAATGCGAGAGAGGTAAACGCTGTTGTTGCTGCATCTTGAAACGGATAGAAGTCTGGCTTATTGAAGAGGCACCGCGCTTAAGTCTTCCTCTGTGGTCCCAAACGATCTCAGCGCAGATCAATGCGGAGCAGCCAGTCCCGGGGTCGAGAGTTCCCTCCGGGCTGCAGCTAGGCACTTTGACTCTTTAGTCCGATTGACAAATAATAACCTTAAATCTGCTTTCAGAGGGATCTTCCTTCTCTTAAGTAGCGTAGAAGGAAGGCATTAGCCTCCGAGACTCAGCTCTGTAAAAAAAAAAAAAAAAAAGCAGACCTCGGAAGGATTTTAACAAAGAAACGAGGCCTTGGCTACATCAAGCAGACAGAAAGCGCGAATCAGTAAAAGGAAAACACTTTAGCAAGCGAGATATAATTAGCATGAGTTGCTCTGTCTTTCTCTTCCTCTTCTCGAGAGGTTTCAAAAACCGTTTCAAAAAACGACTCTGAAGGAAATGGAGGAGGGACTTCATAGGATGGGGTGAGGAGAGAAACAGGAGGATTAATTGCAACTGCCTTCGGGAACTATGCCAAGAGGAATTTCTCGAGGTTCTCAAAGTCCAGAGGGACTATCTCCCAAGGGAGAAAATGACAGCATGTAAGGAAGCTGCTCCCTCTCCTTATTTTTTTGTTTAATTTAAATTAATTTTTTTTTCAAAGTAAATTGGTCTACTTATACATAAACGCTGTGAGGGCACCTTTCCTTGCAAAGGACTGTGCCATCCTCATCATATAGCTTCCTCATAGAACCACATAGACCACTAGAGCCCTTGATCTTGTCACACAAGATCAGGAGAGTGGACTCTCATGAAAACAATCTCTAGTTTTAAAGACAGAAAACTTTCGCAACCCTGGCTTTGGGATTTTATTTTATTTTTTGACAACTGGACCTATTGTTATATGACAGTGATGGCGAATCTTTTAGAGACCCAGTGCCCAAACTGCAACCCAAAACCCACTTATTTATCATGGGGTGCCGGGTGGGCGTGGCTGCGGTGGTCATGGCAGACTAGGTGGGTGGGGCCAGGATGGCGGGGGGGGGGGGGGGCAGTCCCTCGCCATCTTCGGGGCATGGCACACGTGCCCACAGAGAGGGCTCCAGTGCCGCCTCTGCTATAGGTTCGCCACCACAGTTATATGACTACATTCATATAACATAATTCACTTGACTAGATTTTGAAAGGGTTGGCAGGTTGTGGAAACCTACCTGTGTAATCCTCCTGTTATAAGAATGCAGGACATTGGGTAAACTGTGAAGGAATCTAGTAGCACCCGTTCCAAGTAACACATTTTATTGAAAGACATAAGCTTTCATGAGTCAGAAAAACATACTTTTGGACTCCTCCTGATTTTTTGCCACCATAGATGAGCATGGCTTTCCTCCACCATTGGGAAATTGAATAAACCACGTTCAGGTTAATAGAACTAAGTACAGCTAGCTACCATGTGCACAGCAATATTTTTTCAAGGGTTATCACCCCTGGGACAACACAAGGTCCTAAGAATGGGGCTCCCTCAGTGAATTCTATCCAAATGCTAATTTACCCCCCCTGTTGTTTCTCTCTGGTCTTCCCCAGATTCCCAGTGGCTTCCCGTTATGGACAGGATTGCTCTTAACCAAAGCCATTTAAGCCTGGAGAGGGACGTTGTTGGCTAGCTCTGTGGCTTCAATGGAGTGCCCAGTTCAAGGAGCCTTAAAGGAGCAGCCGCTCCCCTTTGATGTAGGGTGCTGCCTGGAAGTGACAAAAGCCAAGCTCTCTTCTTTGCTAGGCCTCTTTTCAAAGGAAAAGGCTTAATTGTGCAGGTTCCTCCTCTGGGGAGAGAGCTGCAGGGAATTCCACACAAAGTGGCCGCCAGCCTGAGCAAGGCAAGATCAAAGCATTTATTTTGATTATCTCCTGGCTATTTTTGGCAAGAACTTTCTTCTGTTCCTCACTCCTTATGTTTTGCCTGCAGAACTGACTGTAAGGGTTTGTCTTTGTTCTCCACTGGATGTTTACGTTGCTCTTAGAATCACGTGCTTTTTGCTGGGACCACCAGTCCCGGCTGCACTGGCTTGATTTGGAGTTAATCCTGGAAAAGGAAGGGGACGGGGAAGGGGAGGAGGGAGTTGCACCAATTTAGTTAACTCTTTAAAGATCAGTCCTGTGGTTTTGCATCTCTCTCTCTCTCTCTCTCTCTCTCTCTCTCTCTCTCTCTCTCTCTCTCTCTCTCTCTCTCTGTGTGTGTGTGTGTGTGTGTACACAAACCTCTTTTGCTATATTTAATCATTTCAGTTCTTCCTGGTCTTACAGTTAGGCAGCCTTTCTGTTGGCCCAGGTTCACATCCGCAAGCTTAAGCATAATTCTTCCACATATTTTTTCCTATGTTTTATGATCTAGAGTTGTAGCTGAAGCCCAAAACTGAACAGTCTGTATTTCAAAGCCATAGATAAATCCTATCTCGCTATTAGTAGTTGCTGCTGATGTATCCTGATTAAATATTTCTAGATTCAAGTTTGTAGTTTCACCTTCATTAATAAGCATGCGGTTGATGCATGCAGTAATAGTACCTCTTATTACTTTTGAACTATTTGTAGAATCAATGTGTAAAATGGCATTCATGTTCAGGCTTTGTGGGATGGTGGCATACTGAAAATGCATAGTTCTGTGTCTTTTTATCCCAAAAATAATTCTTACTGAAATCTAGAAGATGCTTGCTCTGCCAGCAAGTTAGTTTAAATTGGTTAACTTAATGGTAAATCTGGGTTACTAATAGAAAGATACAGATATAGCCATTAGCGGTATAGTTCTGCCTACTAAATTGCTTACTGTCCCCAAATTTTGTACCCAAACTTCTGCAATAAATATACTCACTGGCAGTTTTACAAAGCCAAATAATCTGTGAAACCCCTGCCCCAACGTTTTATAGTGTCTGTGGGTCAGAAGAATTGGTTTTCACATCCTGTTATTGGAGCAGAACCTATTAAATATAAGGCTTACTTCCATGTAGGCATGTCTAGGATGAGTTCAAGCTATCAGTTTAAATAGACTCAATGGAGGAAACTCAGTGTGTCTAAGAGGGAAAACAGAAAACAAAACCCTTGGCCTAGCCAGCGGAGCAGAGGATGGTGAATGTGGTCTTTCATAGGATCAAATCCCAGAAAGGAGTGTGCTCCATCTCCATTCCTCATGGATTTGGCTCACATTCTCCAAAAGGCTGGATGTTCCTCCAAATTTGAAACAGCTGCTGGCCTTGCCGTGGTCTGCCTGCTAAAATATGCCGATCTCCTTTTAATCTGTTTCATATTCACAAATTAAGCACTTAGCTTAAGTAATAAATCATTAGCAGTTTACGAGACTAGCTTGAGACACACCAGTGCAGGGAGGTAGGGGGTGGGAAATCAATCCCCTAAAAGCACAGATAAATGTGACTGCACAGCAGCACCCAGCCAAACAGTGCCTGCATTTTTTCTGTCTGGGCAAACACCTCATGGTTGTCCAAAGCAGCTTTCCCCACTTCCTGGGGATGATGCCTTAGTCTCTTGGGCTTTCCACTGCCAGTGAATGATACAGGCAGCTTCTGCTTTCTTGGGCACATATTCCAAGGGAGCAGAGAGACTTTGCTAAAATTTGATTCACAGAGAACAACAACAAAACCAGGGCTTTTTTCCCTTTCCAAAATCCCCCTCTGTCGGTATTTTTCCCATACCTAGGCTAAGGTTTCACTCAATGAATGACAAATAATTTGCATTTTAGGGATTAATAGACAGTGATGGGTCCTTGGTGCTCTCTGAGCTTGCTTGTATTCTTGCAGATGTTTCATTGCCCAAACTAGGTAACATCATCAGTGCTATTGATGATGTTAATAGACAGTACTGCAGCTCTGCACAGTAACCAGTCCTCCACAAAAACCAGGCAGCTTTTGTGGAGGCAGCATTTGAGTCTTACAAACAAAGTAAAGGTTTTACTTCCTGTTTTTTTTTTAAGATGAAGTTCTAAAGCTCTTAAGACAGCTATAGCATAAGGTATATTTTGCAGCATAGTGGTAAAAGAGAATTGAACATTGGCCTGCTTGGAATGGATTGCTGACCTGACCAAACTAGCTTTTCAAAACTTTAGCAGTTGAACATCTCAATCCTCAGCTAAATGGGCCACTGGGCTAATACTATATGCCAGTTCCCCAGTTTCTTCAGAATAGTGTTCAGTTCTGAAATGAAAGCTCTTTTAAACTTCCTTCTGGTAACTCTCACTGAATCCACTAAGTATACTTAGTCTTAATCCATGCTCTTTACATGTCCAGGACTTGTGATATTCTAGAGAATCTCTGAATCCAGATCTGCTCTAATGTGCAGGCAGCTCTGAAGCAAAACTGTAAGTAAAGCTTATGCAAAGGGCTAAACCTAAACCATGGCTTGAAAGCTATAGTGGATAAGCCAAAAACCAGATCAATCACATTGACCTGGCCATTTTCTCATTAATGAACGATAGTATTGTATAACATTAAACAGCCATCCTTACGGCAATAAAAAATATCTCTTCCATAAAGTTATCTTATTGCGGTGAGGGCTGGATGATGTTATAAATCATTAGTGAGGAAATGGTCTTAAGAGTTGTAGGAAACAGACATCTTAGGTCAAAGCATGATTAGCTTGCATGGGTTTCGTATATGTGACAGATCAGGCAAAATGACAAGGCTCTTTTCTATACATTCAGAGTGGGGTTGAAAAGTTTCACTCATTGGAATGGTTCATCTTCTGGCCTCTCCTCCTGGGGAGGCAATGATCCCAGATTCTAAAGAAGATAATTTCTTTAAAATATTCCAACACTCTTCTTCCACAAGCCACTCACAAACTAGTCTTCCTTAAGCTCCTCCGAGTTCCCTCCTCAGGAAAAGCCTGAGGCAAGGATGTTTTTTCCAGGAGCCTCCTGCTTTGACCTGACAAAAAGGCTACCAGGAATGGAACAGTAATTAAGAAAAAGAAAAAGGCAACAAGCACCAGAGTACCATCCACAATCCAATCCAGATATGTATATATATATATATTGCTCCTAGAAGCAAGAAGCTGAAGACACCAGCCTGAAGATGACAAGTGTCACCAAGACACTTCCAATTTGATGCAGGAGAAAACCCAAATAACCAAAGACCTACATACAAACACCCGCGAAAACCTCAGAAAACAAATATATATATCTTCCTTTGGCACATTTTGGGTACATATCCTTAGAATTAAAGCATGGTGTGGTCACTATGAGAACCAGTTTGGTGT